CTTGTCATTGGACTACTGGGCAAGTGCTGGTGCCAACCACACCAAAGATATCCAAGTACCACTTACAGGCAGCTGCCACTGACTCCCCATTCGCATCTCTGGCACTGCTGTAAGACATTTTAGACTTTCCAAGACCTTTTTTTCCCATTTACCTTTTTCTGGCTAGTAGTGGTAGTGGGGAGAACATGATTTCCATTTTGGGATACCCATTCTGACAGGTATGAACAATACAAAAGTGCACCTCAGCTACTTTGGCAAGGAAAATTCAAAATGGAGGTTGGACTGGGAAATGAATGGGTAGGTTTGGACTTAAAACTTACTTCCGTAAATCTTTTATAAATATTTAATGCTGTGGCAAGTCTGAAACAACTCATGGCAGGTAGGGGAGAAATGAAGCATTCCCCTTGCAGTGTCTTCTGGAGTACCCATGTCTGGGAGGGAGGCAACAATCCATCTTTCTCCGCTCTTTACAAGCAGATCAAGATAAGGCTTTCTAACTAAAAGTCTTTATTATGTTAAAGTGGACCAGCAGTGCTGGCTTTGTGTTAAAAAAGGATATTGCAGAAGTCAATAACTAAGGAAACAAACAAAGTTAGAATACTGTCCATTAGGGAAATGTGGCTTATTGATGCAAAATTGATGCCAATCTGAATCCCGTTTTTAAAACCAAAAAGAGCCAAGTCCACTTTCAAGGCGGATGCTACTGTTTATGAGCCTGGCACTTTTCAGCTGGTCCACCCTCTTAATTTGACACTGTATGATTAGATTAATTATGTTGGGTCTGCTCCCTCCCATATCTGCTAGTTCATTAGACTTGTCCGCAGAACTTGAAACTGCCCACAGAGCTTGACACAGTAACATCCTGGCTTACTTCCGGGTCCTTTCACCTTGCCATATCAGTTGCAAATTCCAGTGTCTCTTCTTCCACTTTTGAATTAGAATCTAAGTCAACATTTGAAGATTACATTATAAGAAAAGAGACCCAATTCCGCACACACACCCCAAGTTGGACTCACTATGGAATATTAGCATGGCAACAAGCTGTCCCATTGCTGTCCACTTAGCCTAGATGGGAAGGATTAGCAAGACAGAGGCTATGGGGATGCTTGAGAGTAGGTCTGCACAGCATATCATCTAGCACAGTGGTTTTCATCGACTGGTCTGCGGACTGGTGTCGGTCCACAAGAGTTCTTCATCATGGCCTCTCTGCATCACTCATTATGGGTGCTGCGCCTGCGCAGTTCGTCGCGCTTGCAGGGGTTGCGCTGGTGCTGCTGTGGGGGACAGGGAGGGGAGAGACAGCCCAGTGACTGGGAGCCATGCTACGCTGATTTCAGTATTTTGTTCTTTTGTTTGCATTTTTTGTTGTTTGGTTTCTTTGGAGAATTTTCATTTTTTCATTTTTTATTTTTTTGATACTGTGTTTGGAAATGAATACACAGCATACTGTATATGTGTATGGTGCTTTTTGTTTCTGCCTCAGCGGTCCTTGGTCCCCAGCTGTAGAAAGCTTGAAAATCACATAAAGTGAGTTTGATAAAGTGAGTTTTGCTGCCAGCCTGTGTTCTGGGAAATCTGTGTGTGAGTTGAATGGGGGTTATTCTCTGTAAGAGCAGCAGTGCCAGCTTGTGATGTTTAACTTGCTGTTCTTCTGCACATGTTTGTATGAACACACATAAACTGAACACACAGTTTATGAGCAGGAGAACAGTTGCTGGTTTGTTAACCTATCAAGGTGATTCCAGTATTAGACCATGATTCATCATGTTCTGATCCAGCTCTCTGTTTGAATAACTACACTCCAGCAGATACAGGCCTGTGCATGTTCTCCAATTATTCATACTGGAAAAGTGACCCATCTATATTTGTTATTAAAAGTAGATTGATTTCTTAAGTGCCATACTGTTGAGAAGCCAGATTGCATTTTATACTCTTGCTAGCTATTGAAATAGTAGCAGGCAAGAGTTGTAGGTAGTGTTGTGATGGAAGATAAGTTCATAGAGGGATACTAGTATTACACTGCCACTGTTTCCATCTTGCTCACAGACACTGATACGCATGCAAAGATGTTTAGCTCACTTAGTCCAGAGCACAGGAGGTTCTCACAGATTCTAGGTAGCTGGAGGCTGGCTGAAATTTTGCATGTAGAAGAAACAGGAGGAGGAAGGCTGCTCCTTTGAGTTCAGAAAGACCTGTAGTTCAGACTTAAAGGACAGGGTCACTATTATACAAGAGGAGGCAGGTAAATTATTTGCCTGGGAATGGGTGCATGCTTGTGATCATATTTGACTTTTCGTGGCTATTTACTAGAAGGCAATACTCAAGTAGGTTGCTTAGTTTTTAGTAGTTAGGAGAAACCTGAACCATGAGCAGCACAGTGTGAATGTGATCAAGGACCAGATGTATTTGTTGCTTTCTTGGCTCCAAGAAGAATTGTAGAGGTTGCCAGTTTCCTAAAGAAGTTCTTTGAAATGTGTGGAGCAGACATATACATCCTCACCGGATATAGCTTTTAAATGTAACACATTAATGTAAATCTTTCCTGCAGAACTTGACTGCTTTCCTGGCTCTCTAAAGCCCCATTCTCTTCCCAGGGTGACAGAACACACAAAGAGGACAAACATAATTGTGGTGACAGGTACCACCTCTGTCTGTTCAACTGAATGATGGCACAGTATCTGAACAAATAGAACCCCAAGAATTGCTCTTGATCAGGTACCCTTTGAAAAGCTGAGCTCCAGATTGCACACAGAGTTGTATAGATACTTGTATGTAATGCTGCATGCATAGAGACCATACAGGTATTTAATTAATTAATAGGTCCACTCTCTGTGCATTCATTCAACTCAGATGTAGAGTGGGGACAGTTTCTTTGTAAAAGAGCTAGTATGTACTGCATAGACTGGCAACCTTGGCCGCGCTCTTTCTCCCAGCAGAGACTGGACAGCCATCTATTTTGTATGCTGTTGACTTAGACTTCCTGCAGGGTTGGACTACAAGGTCTCTTCCAGCTTTATGATTCTCAAATGTTGGACTTAGACTGGGTAGAGCCAAGTTCCAGTGTTCACTCTATCCTGAAACTCACTGGCTATCCTTGGGCCAGTCATCATCTCTAACATATTTCACGGGGTTTTTGACATGCGTGGATATTGCCCTGTACACTGCTGTAAACTCCTTGGAGGAGAGGTGGGCTAACAATGTAACTACAAGGGGAAACCCAAGTGATTATTTTTGTGTGTTTTGGGGCATGTCTTGAAGTGTGGACAATAGTTCGGATATCCCTGGAAGCACATTTGGGAAAGGATTCCTACTAGTGTGGGTATCCAGTGAGCAGTGTTTAGCCCTGTGTTACATAGACATCCTGGAGTATCTTTGTTCATCCAACAGATTCCTTATGCCTTTCCATTCTGTATTCTGCTCCCGTCCTCCTGCCATTTCCCTCCTTCCCCTTCAGAACTGCCACAGTAGCTTTTGCTTCTCAGCAGATGTTCAAAGGAACTGCTCTGTGGTGGGGTCTGGACTAATAGCCCCAGTACTTAATTTCCTAGGCACAGGGCTGCCTCTGGGGAGCGCAGAGGGACTTGAAAGCTGGAGAGTGGGCCTCTGCCTGCCCCTCCTCCTGCTCTGATCACCAGCCTCAAAGAAATAGCAGGGCGCTTCAGATCATTAACACTGGGCTTAGAAAGAGCCTTGGGCTCTGACCTATATTTTGTTGACCCTTTTATGCCTACTGATGGTGTTTGGGTTTTTAATGTGGTGATAGCAAGGAACGGGATCTGGGGAAATCATTTTAATCCATGATCAAAGCGTGCCTCCTGCTCTTCTGTTTCTTTCCTTCCTTCCTCTGCTGTAAACACTGAAACAACAGGGTCCCTGTGAGACCTTTACTGTCATTCCCATCCTTGGTGTTACCTGTTCGGAAGGAACCTCCTCTCTATAATTCAGTCCATAGTAATGCTTGCACGTTGGCTTTTTTGCTCATTTCTGGTTCTACCCTTCAGCAGCTTTAGTATGAACTTCTTCATTTGGGCTGTATTTGCATATCCCGCTCCACAGAAGCCATAACTATCCTGGTTTTATTCCCAGTTCAGTATAATTGCATCCCTCGTGCCAATAAAAGATTGTGGCTGTGCCATATTCTCTAACACTACATGAAGAATGCCATGTTTGAACAGCATATTCAAGCAAACAGTTTTTGTATAAGGTAAAAGAAAGAATTACTCGGAATTCCAGGACTGTTTCAATTCTAACTCATGCTTAGTTTGGTTTTTCCTGTTTCCCCTGCAATAACTCTGTTGCAGAGAGCCTCAAATTCTGGGTGGGATGGTGTGGTGAATTGCCCCTATGGCTTGCCTTATGTCAACACCACTGGCTGTCTTTTCTGGCAGTGGCACAGATAGTGAATCTGTCAAAGCCAGCAGTTGCTGTCCTTCCTTCCAATTCCCCGTGGAAAGGAGGGCACAGAAAGTAGATCTCAAGTTGTTCTCCCAGCACTCTAAGCTATTGGTCACACTGACGGGGCTTCTGCGTCATCACAAGGGTGCAACGTTATCACAGTGCTGATTCACAGAAGAAATTTATTTAAAACATTTGTGTGCAAGTCAATTGTGCCATAGCACCTCTGGGCAGCTCACAACCACAGGGTTAAAATGCGGGTTAAAAAAAGAATGTCTGCTAGCCACAACTCTTTCCCCCAGAACAAAACTGGGTGATGGTGCAGCATTAACCTGCTGCCAGCAGGAATGCCACTACCACAGGAAAGGCCTCCTTTCAGCCCGCAGGTGCCACATTCCCTCAACCTTGGCTATGGAGTGGCATAGAAATGAATTTCTTCATCGTCATCCATCCCACCTGTGAAGTGGAGGGGGGTTAACTCCGGGAACATTTAGGTTTAGCTGTTTCAGGGTTAAGGAAGCAGCGAAAGAACTATAGTGAAGAACTGAAAGTTGCTGAAGACACAACATGACTGAGGATTGTATTGACTGCTTGTCCATTCCCAGGTGACCCGTGTGCCAGTGGAGAGCTGTGAGCAATATACAACGTGTGCATTGTGTCTGGGCTCCAGGGATCCTCATTGTGGCTGGTGTGTCCTACACAACATGTAAGTATGCAGAATTTTTGGCTTGTACCTTAGGACCTCTGTGCATTCCTATGAGGCTGGTCAGCCCATTGAAGGAAGGCTTCTAAATGTTTAAGAACCTGCATTAGTAGCTGCGCTATTGATTCCTGCTACAACTACTGTTAAATGTTAGTGCCAGTGTTGTGCATTGTACAGAAGACAACAGTGACCAAGTTCCTGTCTCTGGTATGTGACCTTGATGAAATTGACAAGGTAGGATTAGAGACTGGGATACTGCATATAAGAGACACTAGAGATGGCAGTGTAGTAGTATGTAATGCTGCGCTAGTTCAGAAAAGTCATTATTTGTTTTTCGGCGCCAGGCCAAGACCTTCTTATTCAAACAGTATTTTAATGTTTAATATTTATAGATTTTAATCGTGCAGCCATTGTGTTTCCGGGTTTTAATTGTAATTGTTATTTTGATGTATTTATTATTTCTGTAAGCCGTCCCAAGGCTGTGTAGCAAGGAGATGGCATATAACAACTTTAAATAAATACATAAACAATAAATAAAAGACTGAATTAAAGAAACTGGCTTAGGGAAGAGAAGGATATAGCTTGATCAAGAGGAAGAGTAATCATAATTCATAGCGAGCAATCAGCATGGCAGAACGTATATAATAGACAAAGGTAACAATAAGGCTAGCATGAGCTTGTTAATAAGCTTGTGAGTATACCAGTCATGTTGGCTAAATGGAGCCTCCATTGCAAGACAGCACAGGCTACAGAACACTGGATTAGGTAGACCTTTGCTCTGGTCCCCACCTTATTTTCTCATGGAATTCCAAGAGGCTTGGACCTTGCCTCTGCCAGGAACCTACTAGGTTGCCTTAGAAAAGGGGCTGTCCCTTAACGTCAGTCCCCTCCAGCCACCCCATTATGTGGATAATATTGACATGCCTCACAGCATCGTTTTCAAATTACTGTGATAATGATATATGGCTATCATTCAACAAGTGATTTATAGTTATGATTTCCAGAGGCATAGAGGCGTTAGTCCGCTGTAACAAAAATAACTGAGTCTTGTGAAACTTTAAAGATTAACATTATTGTACAAGCTTTTGTTAGCTTCAGTTGCAGTGAACTGTAGTCCTTGAAAATGTATGCCATAATAAATAGGTGCAACAAGGCTCTTTATTATAATTTTAAGAATTATGTGATGAGACAGGAGATGTAGGGTAACTATTAGTGGGGAATCATTAGGATGGCAGCCAATGACAAGCGGGGTCCTCCAGGGCTCTGTCCTGGGACTGATCTTGTTCAATCTTTTCATCAATGACCTGGAAGAGGGGGTGACAGTCTGCTGATCAAATTCATGGATGATACTAAAATGGGGGTGATGGCCACAACTGAGGAGCAGGCACTCAAGATTCAGAAAGATCTGGACAGACTATGGAATTGGGCAGGGGACAACAGGATGACACCCGATGCACATAAGTGTAAGGTCTTGCACTTGGGGCAAAGGAATGGATGTCATAAGTTCAGGTTAGGGGACAAGTGGCTGGAGGGCAGGACTTGCGAAAGGGACCTCGGGGTACTGGTCAACTGCAGGCTAAACATGAGTCAGCAGTGTGACAATCAAGAGGGAGAATGCCACCTTTGGTTGCATAACCAGAAGCGTGGCTTCTAGATCGAGAGAGGTATTACTGCCACTCTACATGACTCTGGTGCACCTCCAGCTGGGGTATTGTGTTCAGTTCTGAGCTCCACATTACAGGAAGGATATAGCCAGGTTGGAATGGGTGCAGCGTAGGGCTGCAAGGATGGTGGCCAGATTGCACGGAAAGCCGTATGAGGCAAGACTGAGGGAATGGGTCTGTTCAGCCTGGAGAAAGGGAGACTCTGAGGGGATCTGTTGGAGACATACGATACATGAGGGATGTGCCACATGGAGGTGGGTGGAGACCTATTTTCCCTGTGGATGAGGACAGGATGTGTTCCAGTGGAGCAAAGCTCAGGGAACCAAGGTTCAATTTGGATGCCAGGAAGTAGTTCCTGACAGTTAGGACCCCAAGGGTATGGAAGGGGCTTCCACAAGAGGTGTTGAAGCCCCATCACTGAGTGTGTTCAAGGATTGGCTGGACATGCACATGGTAGGCATGTGATGAGCAGTGCCGGCTGCAGCCGGGGGTCAGACTAGATGGCCTGGGAGGCCCCTTCTGACTCGCTCTGTTTCTATGTATCCCCTACAGGGAGCTTGCTTATTTATTTATTTAAAAATCCATTTATGCCATTGTGTAAAGTGTGGCATGTTACTTTTATTATTACTATTGACATTGACTTTCTAAATTGTGTAACAAACACCATACATCAGGTATGATGGTATTCATGTTCTGTGCAGGAAATATACCAGACCTGATGAATATGATTGATGGTCAGAGATGAGTTACTTTAAGCCTGAGGAATAGAAACTCTAGTGCAGATGACAGCCAGTCTTCTTGGGGAGGGTTCAGAAATATCCTTTGCAAGATGCAGTGAATACAGAGGCACCCCTGAACTTGAAGCTCTTCTGTGCCTTTCCATTTCTGGTCTCACATACGGTTACTCCAAGACCTTCATTCCTGACTTGCTGCCACTTAGCTATCTTGCTCATTCACCAGTCTCCTGAAGTCCGCCCACCCCTGCCCCAGCATAGCCTACAGCTGCCTCTATTCTCTTTCTGTGTCCCACCCACTTTTCTTGGGTGACTAGTCCTTCTACATATTCAGCCCTAAATCTCTTCTCTTGAAAAGAAGGAAAGTTTTTCCCCCTCTAACCTTCTCAGTGACTATAGCACTGCCCATTGCAGCTGTCAGCCAGGTTCTCTTATGCTGCTTGAGGTACCATGGATGCAGATGTGAGACCAGAACTTATAGGGACAAGAGAAAGGAGTTAACTTGTAGTCTTCACGAGTTTGTATCAAGCTGGGAGAAGTGGGCCTGTCCCTGCAGTTTGCCTTTTTCGTCTGTTGTTGCCTTTGCTGTCCAGGTTATATGCTGCAGAACTGATTGACAGTTGTCTTCTCTAAGCTGCCAGTTGTCTAGCACACCAGGGGTTCTGCATGTCAAATGTGTGGGTGAATACAGACTAGAACAGTAGCTTCCTGTCCTGAAAAAACAGGAGGGATCTCTTTCCCAGAGCATATATTGACACAGCCATGTGAACAGAAGAGAAACTCACTGCCCTGGGGTCAGTTGTCCAGTTTTTCTCCATGCTTGCTTGCTTGCTTGCTTGCTTGCTTGCTTGCTTGCTTGCTTGCTTGCTTCCTTCCTTCCTTCCTTCCTTCCTTCCTTCCTTCCTTCCTTCCTTCCTTCCTTCCTTCTTTTGTTTTGGAAGACACATATACCTTCACAGAGGCTTTTAAAAGCTATTACAAACTACTCTAAGACTGTAGATTGGTGCTAACAGAGAGAAAAATGAAGGCCAATAGCACTCAAGTAAAATTATTAGGATCTCACAGTCCTTGGATTTGAAAGGACCTTATCTTGCTTGTATTTCAAAGATAACCTGTTTAAATCTTCTTTAAATACAGTTCTGCTTCTTGGCATAAGATGTTTCTAGCTACAATGGCTGATAGCCTGCTAGAAATGCCACATTGCTTCTTGTTTGGCAAACAGGAAAAGAAAGTAAGCGCTCCAGAAATTATTCACTTTGACAGTGGCCAGAGAGCCTGTCTTTTTCCAGAGAAGCCAATCCTGCAACATCTGGTAACATGAGAATGCACTATAAGGAATAATCCTGTTTTATCTTCAGAGAAACAATGTCTCTAAATATTATGGTACATGTGCACTTGTTTGTCTAAGCCTCATAGGACAAGCCTCATTAAATCCTGAATTTTATCTTCTACCTTCATTAATATTTGGTTCTCCTCTGAAGATCAAGTGTATTTCCCATTTAGCTTCCTGCTAATGATCTAATCCGGCCTACAATATAACCCAGGTCCCTTCTACTCCACTACTGGGTTCCCTGTACGCTGCCAGAATGGCAGCAGAAAAGTGAAGAAATAAAACCAGAATGAAAAAGCTTGGGGGAGGAAACACAGCCTTAGAAGCTGAAAAGCCCTGACTGTTTAACCATGTGGAGCATTTTAATTAAACTCAGAGACATCTCTTTCCTTGAACCACCTCAGGGAGATGGGTGGGATGCCGTGATGGCTGAGAAGCTCCACAGTGCGATGTCACACTGGCACTTGCTGAGGAGATAAATCGCTGAGATTACCAGGACCTTGAAAGGTGCATGTGTATCTGCTTTTTTGTATTGCCCTCTGCTTAATTAAAATGCTTTCCGTAATGAAATAATGTTATCTCAGATGCAGGGAGGAAAAGCGAAGGAAACTCATTTAAACTCATTAAATGGAGGCAGCCTACCTGCTTAGAATGGTACTCTGGGGGACAAAGGAGTGACTGCCCTGGTGAAATTCCTGGCTAATCTGGAGCTGTTTGCAAAGAATCTGGAGAGCAGATGAGAGAATGCCAAGAGCCCTTAGGGAGCAGGAGAAGGGAAGCAGAATATGAAGTGTGCAACAGGGCCATGCCATGCCATGCATTGGCAGATGACTCCCGCTGCTCTTGCAGCATGTCTGCCTTCATAAGCGTGTAGTTAGGATATACAAATGCCCAGTTGCTTGCTTGTAGAATGGGTATAGTTTGTGGTAAAGAGACTAAGCTATGAATCAGGAAGGCACAGTTTGGATTTTGCCTTTGTTATAAACTCACTAGTTGGTCTGGGGCAAACCACTCTTAGGTGTATGGAGGATGGTGATGATGATGCCAGTTTTGGCCACCACCATTTAAGAAGGATTGCAACAAATTAAAACATCTCTGGGGTAGATGACAAAAATGATGAGGAGATGCAGATATGAGGGAAGGAGTTAGCCTGGGGAAATGATTAAGAGGTGCTGCAGTGGCCACAGTTAACGCTTTAAATAATTCCCATCGAGTTGAGGGAGCAAATTTGTCTTCTCTTGCTCCAGCCAGTAGCATCTGAACCAATGGACTCAAAAGCAAAAGCATGCAGTCGCATCCTCAAAAGGTTTTTCTGATGATGTGAACTGTTTGACAGTGGAACACACATTATTGGAAGGTGGTGAACTCTCCTTCAGTGGAGGGTTTTGAGCAGGCTAGATAATGACCTATCAGGAAAGATTTCCTGCATTGACAGTGTATTGGATAAGATGACCAGTGAGATCTCCTCCATCTCTCTGATTCTATGAACCTGCTTTACAGGATTACAGCTAGAAAATGCATGTGAAGCACTTTTAAACACCTGGCAGGTCTACACAAATGTTAAGATGATGATGATGCCACTCATCATTCTAAGTTGATAGTTTATTGTGTTAGTCAAAAGCCTTAATAAACACAAAATGCAATTGCCAAGTGCAGATGAAAGAAGCATCTAAAATATTGTTACTCAAATAAAAACCATGATTCAAGCTTAACTAATCAAATTTGGACCAGAGAGATCAATATTTTAAACCATTAGGAAAATTGCAAATAGTGATAAAGGTTAAACAATAGCTTGATTTGAAGAGCAGCAACCTGTGTTACTTAATTTCACAAAAGAAACTTAAGCCTTTTAATTACTTGAGGTCAAAAGAGCAATACAGCCTTTCAACCCAAAATTAAACTGCATGAAACATAGAGTTCAGTCACTAGATAATCACTGCTTGACAGAAAAAGGATGCTTTTAAGGCTGCAATATGTACATACTTATTTCCACTCTTAAGTAGGCATGCAGACAATTGTTCCGTACAAGTTACACTCTTCCCTTCCCCCTTCCCTACACAGACTCAGATTAATTTCATGGAAGCAAAAGTAAGCATTGAGAAGCTCACACTATTTTTCATTATATGTTTTGAGCTATTGAATGTTAACAATATTCTGGTCTGTAACTAAACAGAATCTGTTTCAAGACTATAATATAGAAAGAGAGAGGATGAATCACATGAGAGAGAGAAATGTCTTTCTGTGGTTGCTGGAAGGGGTGCAGAAGCAGGTAAGCCTTTTGAAGCCTGGAGAGATGGTAGTATGTTGGCAGGACAGATCTTCGTGAGTGAAAAGGATGCAAGGGGCTAACAGGTGTTAATTGGATATTTGAATGCAAAAGTTCAGCATATGTGAGCAGTTAAAAGTATTATAAAACAACCGTTTCGTTTCTGTTTCATTATTTATGAAATCTATGAGCTATCTGGAGGGCTTTTTCATACCACGCATAGGAAAGAAAATACATACATGACAGAAGAGAGGCCATTGTGGGCTCTTCCCTGTGGATATTGCAACTCAGTACAGATATTCTTGTTCACCATAAACTCCTGAATGTTTTACCAGTTGCTCACGGAAGGACCGGTGTGAACGAGCTGATGAGCTTCAGCGTTTTGCCTCAGATCTACGCCAGTGTGTCCAGCTCACCGTTCAGCCCAAGAACATATCAGTCACCAAATCAGAAGTTGAGGTAGGTCACTTAGCTTTAATCCTACAGAGCCCTTATTTTTGTCAGGCTTGCCTGATATAAGTATTTCCCTGCAGGAAGTTTAGTTAGTCTGGAACAGTTGGGTTTTGTGGGATAGTGCACTATGTGGCCTTTGTTATTAGTCCCTTTTTCTTCATGGTCTACTGAAATGCATGATCTTGTTTTTTTCCTCTTTTAGCTGGTTCTGCAGGCCTGGAATGTCCCTGATCTTTCTGCTGGTGTAAACTGCTCATTTGAAGATTTTACCGAGTCTGAAAGTCGCATTGAAGATGGTAGGATTTACTGTAGCTCTCCTTCTGCAAAAGATGTCATCCCTATTACTAGGGGACAAGGTGAGTTTTGGCAACTGTTGTCAGTCTGTACCAACAAACTCCAGAAAACATTTTATGCAGTAGAGTTCTTGGTTACATACTTTTATCTTTCAGTATATGTTTCAGTAGGACCAAGGTGGTCAATGTGTGGTCAACTTGAGATTTGGCCTACATTTCCCATACACTGTAGTAATTGCCATCAGTGGTAGAAGGATGATGGGACTTCTGGGCATCTTGATGCTTTGGCCCATAAATTGCTCCCTGGTACAGATTTGGAGAGGACTGTTAAGTCTGGGACATAAGCAGCAGGTATCACTAGAACACCAAGACCAGGGGTCGTGGATTTAGATAGATGTCTTGGCAAGCTACAGTGGAACTAGAGGCAGAGGCAAAGACAGATAAAAGCAAGGATCAAGTACCAGCAAGGCATGGGAAATTCCAGAGGTAAAGAAAGAATTAAATACAGGCAACACGCAGATACTGGTGCGGCATCACAGATTCAGGAGAGCTGACAGGAGTTGGTGAGAGTCGGATACCAAAAAAAGGTAGATTCAGGGACAGGTTCAGATAGACATTGTAGGATTGGCAACAGTACCAGATCACGACCACAAACAAGCTGCCAGAAAGACTCATGTTGTGAGGCAGTGCTGAGTAGCCTTTTGTAGCCCCTCCTGTGGCTCCCAATTGGTTACCGTGGTTGCAGTGACCTCACAGGCCTGATACCAGTCCTGCAATTACTTGCAAGGTGAAATGTGCTGCTTTCTCTATCAAGCCACAAGGGGGAGTTGCACAGATCTGCACATCTTGACAGCTACATCTGGGGCTGCAGGAAGTAAAGAGGAAGTGCTGTTCTGACAACAGGATCCATTACACTGGTGGAACAACAGAGTTAGATCCAACTAGTGAAGTTGGAAAACCTCATCACAGTGTGTTTATGATCAGAATTTATATGTTGTTTGTACTTCTCAAACCAAAGCACTCTCTACAGTGGCTTTGACCAAGAGGCAGTCCCAGTGAATCTGAATTAACACAAGCATGTGGAATGTGGAAATAACGAAAACTTCAGTCATAAGCTTATGCATGATTGAGCCTGAAATGCTATTTGTGGAGGATACAGAGAATGTATTTGAAAAATGCTGTATATATACACATATACATATACATATACATATATATATATATACACATATACATATATATATATATATATATATATATATATACACACATATACATATATATATATATATCTTTTATATGCCGTCCTATCATATTAAAATCTCAGGATAGCTTACAGTGCTTTAAAAGGACAATTTAAAAGACAACAATTTCCAATAAATGAATTAAAAACAAAACAATATATAAAACAAAACAATAAATCACAAAACAAGAGCGACTAAACGTTAAAAATTATTGATTTTTAAATGCCGTTTAAATAAAAAGGTTTTGACCTGGCACCGAAAAGAGTATAGGCTTGGTGCCTGGTGTACCTCTCTGGGAAGTACACTAGAAAAACACAGAGGAAGAATGCATACTTTTTAAAAATGAGTAGCACTCTGAATGCATGGATGAACAGAAGTTTTCGTTATTTCCACATGCTTTTGTTAATTCAGATTCACTGGGACTGCCTCTTGGTCAAAGCCACTGTAGGCCTTGCTCATTCATATGCAGTCATCCCATAGGTTTTATTTTCCTTGATTCTCATAGTATTGGTTGGCCTCCATCTCTGATTTATGTTCCTTCTGTGTTCTGTTCCAGGTGATAAGCGAGTAGTAAAGCTCTACCTCAAATCCAAGGAGACTGGGAAGAAGTTTGCTGCTGTGGATTTTGTCTTTTACAACTGTAGTGTTCACCAATCGTAAGTGACATGGGTCCCCACCACACATACATCTCTGCCTTCAGGTTTTGAATTTATGCTGGGAGAAAGTTGTGAATAAACTGTAGCAGACTGAATCAACCAGGGTCAGGGAGATGTGTATAGTATGGAATATTGTTAAACACAGAGGGTGTTACTTTGGTGCTGGTATAGTTATTTTAAGGACTGCAAAGCCACCTTGCCTTGCTGTTGAAGTTTGCTTTGGGTGAGAAGCTGCCTGGGCATCCAAAACTACATAATGTTGAGGGCAAAATACCGTTTCTTTGTTGAGGTGAAAAAGGGCTGCACTGTGCTTCTCGGCTAATGCCTGCGTAAATGTGCAGGTTTCATACAGATAATTGTGCGTGCATGTTTAGGGTGGCTTGTATGTTTGTTTTTCTGCGAATGATGTAGGTTTTAATTTGGTCAGCAGAAATTATGTTTATTTACATATTTGGAGGATTTAAGATATTGGCAGTGGAAGCGGGTCAGATAACATGAGAAGTGAAGGACTGCTGTTTGAAGTCATAAAGATGCATTAGATGGTTAGAGTCTGTAGTACAAGGCAGCAGCAAACTGCTGTAGTACAAGGGAGTTTCCTGTGTTCCTTATATAAGTATGAATTTATGATTGGCAGCACAGTTTGGTTTGGATGCATCTGTTAGAAAGATAAACTCATATATAGTTTTAGTACAGTTCATCAAGGCCTGGCAGACTCTAATTTAAAAACTCACTTTGATATAAGTTGAATTTTAAAATAGCATCAGGCTTTACATAATGAAAAATATAAAAGCTTAATCAATGATCTTTCAATATATATGTTTCATAGTGATTTATAGAAGACAGCCTATCTAGTTAGCTCTCTTAGAAATACTTAAGGGAAGAAAGATCACTCTGCTTTCCAGAGGGACACATTGGCTTGCTGGAGGTGTTGGATGGTGGTTGGCAATAGCAATATGTGAGGAATCCAGTTTAGGGGTAGGAATTTGTCAGATTTCCTCGACTTGGCTTCCAACACTCCAGTCCACTTTTCTCTTTGCCCCAAGCTTGCCTCGCATTAAGTATTTGTGTGGGTGTCTGGCTGAAGGGAAGTCCAAGTGAGTCCATGAGGCCAGTTTGTGTACACACTGCCTGCAGGCTCTCTGTGCTGGTGGAATTCTGCTTCACACATGCAACTTCCAGGCTTTGTGTACTTGGAGCAAAGAATTGCATACTTTGAGCAATTAATTATGTACTCTTTGTACTTTGTGCAAACAACCCACCTTTGTTCCAAAGTGTTTGCAGACTTGATCTTGGCTCAGCTCACTTCTGACCAGGGCCGAGTGTGGGAAAGAAGTCTGGCGAGTGCAAGAGAGCCAGATTCTGGCCTGATCCCCGCATCCCTAGGTTGCAATAGTGAGTTGGAAGGCATTTGTTTAAATAGTTGTTTCAAATGAAATAAAGACCTGGCATGTTTCCAGTGAGTATTTCTACATTATAGGGTGGTCAGGTTTATGCCTGATTTTCTGTCAGAAATCAGGGTATGATTTCTGACAGAAAGGACTTTCATGGCTAAGTGACCATTCTAACCAAATGTTGCTTATATCTACCTATTTATTTACTTTAAAAAATTCTATGCTGTCCATCACAAAAAAAAGTCTCTGGATAGCTTACAAGGAACAGGAAACCAAGAACAAAAACATAACAATGTCACACAGCACACTGCATCTAAAGTAGTAATAAAAACAAGGATAAAATCAATTGATTGTTAAAATACCGGGAGAATCAAAAGGTCTTTGCCTGATGCCGAAAATTTGCTTTATGCTACCTATGATGGCTTTCAAAACCCCAGCTCTTTCCTCTAGCCTCCAGGGTAAGAATGCAGGTGGAATGGAACTAAAGAAGCTGGCCCAGAATGAGATCAGTCACCCTCTCAAAACCATGGAAGAGATTGATACATCCATTAGTATGAGATTAAAGTATAGATTATGCATACTACTGTTCATTAGTCATATGTAGAATGATAGCAGCTAAAGGTTGGAATAGATATTGGAAGTCATCTAATCCAGCATTTTGGCCTGTGCTAAAATCTGGAAATTACAGAACTCTTGTCAGTTGTTCATCAAAATTCTGCTTAAGTTCTTTCAGTGAAACAAAGCCCATCACCCTCTGAGGAAGTTGGTTGCATTATCAAGAGGCTAATACTTTTCAGAAGTTTAGTCAAAAATAGCTTCCGTGCAACTTTCACTCATTTTTTCTAGTTTTGCCTTTTGTAACAGAAGAGAACGGGCTTGCTCCATCTTCTAGGTGATGATATCTTTTACTCCATGGCTGCTACTTTTGCTGAGGAGTCTTTGCTGAGAGGCTTCCTCAAAAGCCGTTTCACAACCTAAGTAAACTATGGCTACCATTTCCTCCATTCACATGCTATTTGACACTCAGTAATAACTCTGAGTGGTTAATGAGACAATACTTAACTTTGCAGAAGCCATGCTGACTCTTCTTCAGCAAGACTTGTCTTTCCATTTGCTTAATTAATTTATCTTGTATAATGTTTTCTAGCCATCTACCTGGAACAGTTATTAAATTAACAGAAGGTTTGATGCTACATTAGCATTGTAATAAAAAGCCTCAGTGAACCTTGGATCTTTCCTTTCAGCATGGCCATGAGAAAGACATCAAAAGCCTTTGTGTTAGGTTAGCTGAACCCTAAACTGTGATTAAACTCAGCTATGATTTGCTGGAGGAAAACAGCCTCACAAACTATGGTTTGAAATTGGCTTGTTTCTGCAAACAATAGTTAAGTTTTACCATAGTTTGTCTAATCTTGGATGACATGCCAAACTTTGGTTAGTCTAAAATAGAGGCAAAAGTTCTGTACTTGTCCTTGTGGCCATGGGAAGCTGGTGGGAAGCATGCAGTTTTCAGGCTTGTTTAGGGCTATTGTTTTAATGATAAAACAGGGTTTTGGATTAAGTCTGAATGAAGCCATGCATTCAAATTCAGATACTGATCTCTAATTCTAGCAGTACCATTGCAGTGTGGTGTGTTGGAAAGGTTCAGGGGGAGGAGGGAATAATAAATAATTAGATTATTCTGGCAGATATCCCCAATGGAAACTACTCCTTAATAGAGCATCAATTATTGTATCACTTAAAATGTCTTCAGTAGCAGCTGTTTAAACAAAATTAGCATTTTACATTTTAAAAACGAGGGAGCAACTGAAAACCTTAAAAGGTGCCACATTACTCTAATACTAGGTCCTGCTAATTAGAGGATGGGGAATCTGTGGGATCCAGTCTGTGTTTGCTTTCTGGGAAGACTCTGGCATCCAGGAGGAAGCTCTGGGGTATAAAAATTGGACATCAAGATGTACAAATCAGGACTCTAATCTGGGTAGTAGAGTTTGAAGTGTGCGGAAAGGAAGATTCCATTAAGTCTTTCATGACAAGGAAGTTATGCCAAGGTTACTGCTGGGAAATCAGAACACCTGCTGTTCCTTCAGAGAACAGATCTAAGTTCCTTGGGAATATGATGAAAGGAGATAAAATTCTGAGTTAAATGCTCTTTGCCTTCCTTCAAGTTTATATATTGATATATATGATCTGATTTGTACCCCAGCTTTTCACCAAAACCTGGCCTGTAGGTTGGCCATTCTTGTTTGATTTCAACAGTGTTAACATCTGTTTTTGCAAAGACAGCACATGTAACATTGTTCAGTGTGTGTATGTGCATTCACATAGGAGCACACACAGAAGCAAATGTGAGTTTTTATAAACAGAAGTTGCCTTGTAAACTAAAGCCTCATGGGGGCAAGCAGTTTTGTTCCAGAAGGGCACAATGAAGGAAGTGATTGCTTTTTAAAAATTTAATGCATGCATAACATAAAAAGCAAAATAACCTGCAACAAAGAACAACTGTGGCTGATTTATGGCCAGGTTGAATTTTAATTTTAGATGAATTATTTTAAAAAGCAAATGATGACTGTATTAATATTTATAAAATCATTTTAGCGCTATTGATGATAGTAGTTGTTTTTAATGGGGCTTTTTGTTTTATTTCCTCATTCCTCTGCTGTCATCTGGCTTTAAGGGTCTTCATAAAGAAAGAAGACCAATCAAGCAACATCCATGAAAAGAGAAATGAAGAGATGTTTGTCACCACATATTAGATGCAATCAGCGCTTTAGCTTGTCTCTTGCTAGGAGGGATTGTTTAGGCAAGCTGCTTTTTGTGTCCTCCAAGCACTCTTAAGTAACATCAGTAGCTTATCTTTGCTGTATTTTCTAAAAACCCAGACAAGATGCTCTGTTAGTTTAGCCTCAACTTGTTTGGAATTACGTGAATCTCTGCTAGGCTTGTAAACTCTGCACCAAGCATCAGCCCATTTTCTGAGCTATTGAATGAAGATCTGGCTTCCTTTCTAACCCTGTAAAGGAAAATTAAATTCTTAATGATTTTATACCTTAAATGTTTCATTATCTTACGAGCAGAAAAGGTACTGTGCCATTGCTTTAGCTCTATTGAAGTGGACATTATTCGTGTCATTTCTGTAGTGCTAAACAGAACATAAGAGGTGCAGTTCATTCCATCAAAAGGCATCCAGTCTAGCATTGTGTTTCAAACAGTGAACATTGGGAAATCTCTGGATGCTTTGAAATGGCCGCAGCCCTCTCCTTTTATTTGTCCCTAGTAGCTTAAATTCAGTGATACTGTGGTTATCATGGAAAATAACCATGGGCAGATTTACCCTGCAAGAATAGCACTGTGATTGGTTGTATGTTTTGTATAGACTCTGGGCTGCCTGATGGAAGATGCACATTGTTTTTTTTGTTTATGTGAGCTGCAAGTGCCACATGCAGCTTAACTATGTTTTGACATGACAACTTTCCAACTGGTTATGTTAATCACTTTGCAGATACCTTCCTGGCAAGCTGCCACACAATTGTTATTTACAGGGTTTAATTTCTGGATGGTAGCAGCTTTTCACTGTCTTGGATAAAACACCTGGGGGCCCTGTGACAT